GTCCAGCCCCCAATCCTCCCCCATCACAATCTGCCCCCAGAACCTCCATAGCAGTCTGCTTGTGCTCAGAGCCAAGGACTCAGGTCCTCGAAGATTCTGAGATTAATTTGGATTTGGCAAATGTCAGAGGGGATTTTGTGGTTAAATAATGCCAGATTATAGGACTTCTAGAATAAATGGAACCACATCTCTAAATATAAACTGCACCTTTGCTGCTTGCTTGTTGGCAGAGTTTTGAACTATGAAAATGCCTTTGTGATTCGTTAAAATGAATAGCTACTTCATGCTCTCTTCAAAGTCCTTAACTTGGATTTATTAAAGTGATTGTACAAATGATGGTGTGGTTATTACTAAATACATCAAAATGATCATAATCCACCCTTAGTTAAACAGTCTGCAGTTTAACAGTGGTAAAAAGAAAAAATAATGGACAAAGCATCGACATTAAGAATTAGCAAAAAAAATTTACATATTACCAAACATGTCTAGAAGCACATATCTAATTCAACTGTCACTTGCCCTCTGAAATCTGCCACCTAGCTTAAGCAGTTTTACTTTCAGTTTTTTACTATTTTGGATAATGTCCACAGGGTGGATGTATTCCTGATAATTCTGATTAATGACTTTACCCTAACTTCACTGTGCACGGTGTTTTGGACTAAATTTGTTTCATCTGTTATTTCAGGATTCCCTAGAGCGTCCCAGGCCTGCCCAGGCCGAGAGTGACAAGTACAGAGTTATAGTCAAGCCCTACATTTTAGTCAAGAGATAACTCACCAAACTTAATCCTATACATAATATGTGAAAAGTGGGACAACATGGGATAGGGATTTTAGAACAAATGAGCTTTGGTTGATTTCAGATTATTTCATTGAATCTGGAAAGAATGACAGAGGACAAAGAGTAAATAAGTGTTAATAGTTCACATTTCCATTATTATACAATGGATACATAATTTAAAAAATCTAGTTAAAATTTTAAAATGAATTATAACCAAATGTCTTTTTCCTCCTTTTCTACTGTTTTAAATATATATTTCTAAACTTTCACATAGTGATGAGATGTAAAAATATTTATTTTGATTCAATCTGGAAAGCAAAGATGACTTCAAAAACACAACGGAAAGCTCTTGGAATGAATATGAGAAATCCCTAGCTATATGGCAATGCTCCTGCCTATTAACACAAAAGAGAGAAGTTTAGAGCTTCAGGTAGGACTGCTGGGCTTCTGTTATCAATGGGAAGCTGCTGATGGGTCTTACTAAGTCATACTGTTTCTTCCCGCTTTCATTAACAAATCAGCCTCATATGTGAAAAGGACTAGTGTTTCAAAATTGCAAATTGTGCGGCTACCACTAAGAGTTGTAGTGAATGAGAAAATAGTACTATATCCATATACCAGAAATTCCCAACGTGGGTCCTGTGGAACACAAGCTCCTTGGAATGTTACTAGGTGTTACTCAAAATAAGTTTCTCTGGCCAAATTAATCTGGAAAACACTGAGCTAACTGAAATTACATTTGTGGTGTGTTTCTTCTCTTCTCCTCACCGCCCACCTATAGGACATTTAAATAAAACCTTCTATGTGCTTATATGCACTAACTTTTTAAGATAGTATCTTTCCCAAACTCATTTGACCATGGAACCCTATATTTGGAAGATCATCTTTGGAAATTGTGTTCTATGGAACACACTCTGGGGGAACACTGGATTCTATTACTCCTGCAGTGTTCAGCTAAGTAGTTCCAAAGTCTAGATACCAATGATTTAACCTAGAGTTAATTAAATAGGCCCCAGTGTGTATCTAACAGTCATGTCATTTCTGCAGAGCTGGTTCAGGAATGCTGGTGTGACCGGCTAAGGCAATTTTAGGAGAATATTAAGGGAAGAGCAGTCTAATGATGATGGGTCAAAGGAGAAAAAAATCATTTCTGAAATCATGGAAGAATAAAGCTTCATCCAGAGCGTGTATTCACATACTTTCAAATGTACAGTGAAATGTTGCCCTTTCTAAACCTTCTTCATTGACATGGTTGTAAGAGTATTAAATCTGGCAATAATTCAGGGGGAAAAAAATCCGGAAAATCAAGATATACTTGGCAAAGGAAAAGGTGATCACTCCTTTGCATATCCCTCATGTATTGCCGGATACCCAAGTGATCCAATTCAATAATGTCATCAGTTTCCCAGAATTACTTCAGATAGGATTGAAACGATGCCATCATCCTCACGCAATCCCGTTTGCACAGAATGTATGTGGGCTGAAATCATTACAGTTGCATGAAATAAGCCCTGTTTTAAATTACCCAGATTGCATATGCTCCTCACTCTAGAAAACACTCTCTGTAATACTCTTATTACATAGACAAGATTCAAGAGGCCAATACCTTCTATCTAAGGCAAGGAATAGAACGTAGCTGCTGGTTACCAGTAATGTGTACATATGCGCACAGTTATGTTGTATTAGAATAGTGACTTCAGAGCTCAGTGCCTTGGGCAAGTTGGTCACATAAAATGAATGCAGGTCTTGGGAACTAGCTTTGGAGTTTTTAATGTAAGTATTATTTATTCCTTTAATTCGAGAATTGCAAATACAGTGAATTTTCAAAAAAATTTTCCCTATCTTGTCCTATCCCCTCCCCCCAATCCCAACCCATGTTAAGAGTACAAATTGCTGGGGGGGCAACAGCAGAGCGGTGCATTCATGAGGGTCTGCGCTTGGCATCTTGCTGGGGGCTCGTAAGCATGTGGTCATTCATTCCCAACTTCATTTGTAAAAGAAATGAAAAACCATCCCCAAATTTGGCACTATGGGGCTATTGGCAATGCGAACTCGGGCTGGGGAGTCTGGGCAGCCTCATGTGATAATTCCAAAGCTTTGGCAGTGCTGTTTAGGGAAGCTTCACATGCAAACTTCTCAAAAAAATTTCCCTAAAGGCTAGATTCAACTTTTCCCTTGTTGTCCCTAGAAAATGAGCCACAGGGCACCCCTGGGGTGATGTCTGCAGACCCGTAATAGCTGGACGAGGGGCAGAGGGAGAGCTCCAGGACGGGGGAAGGAAGCAAAGTTCCCTGATTTTAGACATAACTCTTAATCAAACTGCTACTATTTTGCCTAAAACATCTGTCTTTAAAAAATCTACAAGCCAAAGTGGGAGGAAAAGAGGCAGAAAGAAAGGGAATAGGAAATACACACACTACATGGTTAAATTCAGAAATGAATTAATTCTACAAACTGTAGAAGACACCCGGTAACCTCAGCTGGAGGGGAAGGCCAACATACCTGCCCTCGGCACCACCCAGTAAGACCCTGCGCAGGGTAAACAAACACTAACTTCCTGTAGCTTTGCTTTTTCATCTTCACCAAAACATGTCTATTTTCATCTTACTAATAATGATCATGGAATTAAAAGATCTCTTTCCCTTGTCAATATAAATTTTAGGGTTAAGTTAAAAATAAAAAAGGAAATTGGACTGGGTAGCATAAAATGCTGAAATTGCTTATTCTTGACCTTCAGTTAGATGGTGGGCTTTGGTAACTCGCCAGAGTCAGGATGTCCTAGATCTCCAAGCAAGGCCACCTGGCTTGCCCATCCCATCACTGAGCACAACCAGCCTGTCTCCCATCTTCCTCTCCCCTGACCCCGTCCCCAAATACACACATCCAATTGTTCATTGTCTCTCAATAGGCAAATATTTCAATCTAAAATGGTGACAGGTATTTTGTACTAGAACTTTCTGTAGCTAAAAAAAAAATAACCAGGGTTCTAATTCTAATGCTGGAAATTCTAATGTTACAGTTTACAAAAGTGAGCAAATCGCTTGGGAAACCATTATTAATTCTCATTGCAGTCAAAGGACGGTAAGTGCTTGGAGGAATCGAGTCAGGCTGCAGCCCTTGGCAGCCACAAGGGAAGCTTCATCCTCCCAAGTTCTCCCCTGGAACCTGCTTCGGGAAAGCTCCACAGTTGAAGAAGGGCAGGGGAAGGAGGGGCACTGTGGGCTGGAGGTGGCCAGTGAATTGGACCTTTGAGAGGCTCTAAAGACAAGTGTCCACTTGAGAAGGACAAAACCAGGTGGACACCTCAACATTTCAGACACAGAAGGGTGGGGACACAACAAAAATCTTGTCTGGTTGTTTGAGCCACCTCAGCCAGGCAAACGGGCTGACCCAGCACTCGGTCAATTAATTTATAAAACACTGAGTTTGGAAACATGACTCTGGTGACAGGGCACGAAGAGCGGCAAGCCTGGCCCCGAAATAACTCTGAGCCACTTAACAATACAGGTTTTGAGCTTGAATTCCCAGCCAGCGAGCGTGGTTGCCACGGAACGCAGGGCGGCGGG